CCTGGGGTTCCCGGGTCTAGATAAGTGAAAATGTAAAATGGTGCCAAGAAGTCTGTCCTCCTTCCCTTGCTGAAAGAAAGCAAAGGGACAAGGGTGTCTCATCCCTCTGCTGAGAAAACAGTAGTTTATTCAGGACCAATTCTGTGGTCTCTCTGTCCTGCAGGGGAAAAGTTGCCTTTATAATATATGATAAATATCACCAATTAGTTGTTTCCTATGTTACAGGTATTTGAATTCACTATTTTATTTAATCCTCATGACCACTTTATGGTATCCTATTATTATTCTCATTTCACAGATAAAAAAACCAAGGCCAGAAAGACTGAGTTGACCAAAATCCCTTGAGCTAGTAAGTGGAAAAACCAAGATTCAAATTTTGTCTGACAGAATCCAGGAACTGTTCTCTTCAACACAGTTGAAGAATGTCTATGCTTACATCCAGTCTAACTCTGTGATCTTGGGGACATTATTTCACTTCAGTGAATCTCAGTTTTTTCATCTGTAATATGGAGGAAACATTCTTTGACTCTTCAAGATGTTGGGAGAATCATATGGGGAAACATACGTACAACACCACTAGCACAATGGTTGACCCAGGGAAGGTGCCTGACAAATATTTTCCTTCACTTCCACTTCCTCTTCTGTACCAAAATGGCTGGAATCCCAGCCCAGAGATTTGCTACATGTAATGCAGTGAAGATGTGCTCTCCTGTCTGTATACAGTGTCATCCACCTGGAGCTCTCCTTTTTGTTTATTCCATCTGCAAGCTGTATATCGTGACCCATTAGTGAGTTATTAAATCAAGTTAATGAGTTGTGCCCTTCATTTTTTTTTAAAGGGGGACAAATAGAATGGAAAATAACAAAATACACTTTACATAAAAAGCACAATTTAATAAAAAATGTTTTTCAGCTTTATATGTGTATGTATTTACTGGGTCACAGTGAAGAATGTTTTTATTGAGTAAAAAGACTTGAAAACTTGTAAGTTTACTCACATAAGATCTTTAAGGACCAATTTTGGTATCTTTGCATTAGGAAGCAATAAAGGTTCCAGGCCTTTCTAGAGCTAATTTTTCACACCATGTTGCACTGTGATTGTCTTCCTCTCATCTGTTTCTTCCACTGGATGAGAGATTCTTATGGTAGGAAATGTTGACTTTTACGGCTGAGTCCTTAGTGTCCATTATGGGTCTTGGCACAAAATATACACTCAAAAACAGCTTGAATGCACAAATGAATCAAAGCAAATGACTTTTAAGCCCAAATTCAAGACAGAGAGGTTATTCACTTGAACTCTCAAAATGGATACCTTTGATTAACAAATGAACATGGGTCAGGCTTCACTCTTTCCTGTGACCTTTCACTCCCCATTGGTGGACTTAGCTGCTTTTTTTCCCCTCTTCTCCCCATTCTCCAAGTCCTGGGTGCTCTTGCTCTCCTTTACCTTAGGAAAGGTGCTTTCCTTAGCTATTTGCACTTCTATGTGATTTCAATCACCAATGTCTCTGACCTTTCTTAGTAGCATTTGGATATTAAAGGTCCATTCCTATCAGTAGCAGGAAAAGCCTTGTTCTCTGTCACAGGGATGCGTTCACCAGCTAGTAGGTAAGAAAGAGCGCATATATTAGAGGCAGGGAGAGCTCCATCTGCCCACATAGAGAGCCTCGAAACACATGCAACAAAATCCGTATTCCAGTGGCTCGGGATCCCAAGTGCATCTACGTCTGAAGAATTCATAATGTACTTATGGAGCATTTTTGAAAAATATTTTATTCAAATTTTTTACATTTTATTTACTTTCCAGGTTCTACAGCTCTATGTTTCACAATGCAGGAAATACACAATACAAACAGCCCAGTAAAGCAAATATATCCAAATCATTCCCACAGAACAGGTACAGCGTTATCATAAGCAGCAATCAACTTCATTTGTATAGCACTACTGAAGCACTTTGGGCACCTTACACAAAAGATTCAAAGAAGGAAAATAATTACAAGTAGATTGGAAAATAGAGAGGGTTGGTTGGCTCAAGTTTAAAACACTGCCTGGCTCAGATGTGCTAACCCCCCCTCCTCCTTTCAACACTTTCAGGCAAACAAATTGCTATCACCTGGGAGGATGATTTCTAGTGAGGGAATGAGGCCAGCTCATGCACCATCCTGAGAGGACACAGCCTCTCAGACACAGCCAGGGCTCTATGGGTGGGACGGGGTGGGGGAAGAAGAGGCAACTCCTAGAGGAAGGGGTGGTTTTGTGGTGCAGACAAATATCCTATAAGTCAGCTAAATTGTTTATCACAGAACAAAGAGAGGCTGTTAGCTTTCTGCTTTAGGTTTTCGCTTCATGGAAAAATACCAATAAAACTACAGAAATCCCCTATGTCCTAGTGCAGTTTATCCTGTGTAAAAACCCCAAAGGGGTTTATGTTCGAGTTTCTCCTCTTGGCTAACCTATTCCTTCATCTAAGAGGTGGGGGCTGTGAGCAGATTGGGAATCACAGCTCAAGTGCACTCCACAGCTGATACCACAGAAGCTGAGCCCTTGGGAGGTGGAGTGAGAAGGGAGTTAGAAGATCTGATTCTGTTACCAAAGAGCGGTGGCAGATCTCTCCCCTCCTGGGGCCTCAGTTTCCTGTCCTGTCAATTAAACAGTGGACCTGGTGCTGCCTAAGATTCCTTCTGGCGCTAGACTTACATAAGCCAAGCAGAATAATATTCCAGGACGCCATTCTCAGATTAAAGAAACATGCTCATCATCTGATATTTATATAATCAGAGAAATCCTGCTACTAATTTATTTTGAGAGAGCAACTTAGTTGACTTTCTAAAATAAGTACAACCAACTGGCACCAGCCCTATTCAAGTGTTCCAGATAAAGCAAGCATCTCTATGAAAATCCTCTAGCCCAATTTGGTGTAACCCACCCCCCTCTATAAAAAATGAAGAGGGGGGACAAAGGTACAAAGTTGCTGGATCATTTTTAGTAAGAATTTCCCATAAGCCTTGTTAGTTCATTCCATTTGATTGCCTTTTCGTTGCTGTTGTTGGGGTAGGGGCTATTAGTTTTATCACATCGTATGATAACAAGCCCAGGGGGGAGGGTGTCTTGTATGTTCTTTCCCTCTGATTTTACTCTATGCATGGACCCTACTTCTTCCAATTTTATGCCTCTAGGGTCCTTTAGATGCTAAGGTCAGCCCTCTAGGGACTAACTGTTAATAATTATACATTTGGAAACCAAATACCATATTTGTATAGTGGAGAGATCATTTGGAGAATCGCCCATAAAGTGTCAGCTATTTTTCAGTGTCATTTAAAAGAGGTTCCTCCTTTCAATTCCATTTCCAACTATTAGAATGTGATACAAGATAACATCCTTTATTACCTTAAGTCTTGATATCTTTTGTATGTCATTATTTTTATTTATCATTTTAGAGAATAAAGGTTTGGGTCTGATTAATATGACTCTTTCAAATAAGTCTATTAGCTTTACATTCTATCACTATATTACCCCATTTAATTTTCCTAATCTTCCACAACTTAATTCAAAAAACTCAACTATTACCAGTATATTTTCAGCAAAGTTTTTCTAAGTACATTAACATTTTTATGCATTCTATTTTTTTAATAGATAACAATATGGTAATTTTTCCTTCCAGTGTTATTCTACATATCCATTTTATTTGCATTAACAGATTTTTCTCTATTCTATAAACCCAATTGGCTTTTCCCAATTTGCTACCCAAAACTAAAACATTTCAAGATTTAAAATATTTTGTATCACAAAGACCAGCAACATAAAGCCAGTAAGGAGAAAAGAAATAGCCACTTTCCATCACATCTGTGACTTCACTACAAGACATGTTCCCGGGTGGTTCTTAATAGTTCCTGTTGCGGATTACACTGGAGTATATCAAAATAATCTTGTGAAATTCAGTTAGTCAAATTTGGAATGTTCATAGTCAAAAATAGTTTTGTTTGATTTTATCCTGTTTTTATTTTAAGTCTTGGGACTTCTGAAGTATTAGAACTCCCTGGAATATAGAGGGAGTCTCTGCTTGTCCTAGGGGGGCCAGCAAATCAAGGTCCTCAAGAACATGCCAACATCCGGAATCCTGCTCCTTTCTTTGCCCTGCTGTGCCTACCTGATAGACACAGAAGATAACTACACAGCCAAAGTGGAACCAACGGAACACATCAATTCAAGTACATAATTTAGTATCCATAACACACCCTGCATGCGAGGAAAAGACAGTGAAATTTCAGGTGAGGAGGATATGACCTTACGTGGGAGTCAGACCAGATTCGGGGGCCGAGTGAGGAGAGGAGAATGCAGTGAGGGTATGGGGCATGGTTCCTCCACTGGTCCATAGATTCATCTTCACAGTGTATTAGGTATTACTTCCCCCCTTTGGTTGTTTATACTTATATTATTTTAAAAAGTACAGTCAGCATTGATGAAGTATATTTTGGAAGGAATATAGGAGGCTGAGAAACAACTGGTCACGAGATACCACGGAAGAAAGTCCACCGAAACTTGTTGGGAAGCATGTAACTCTTTAGCAGAGTGCTTTTGATTTTCAATCAATACACTAAAGTTCATGCAATATATAGCAAGCAGATCAAGAGGTGATACAAGAATATTTTCTTCTTATATTGATGGTAAGAAAAAGTCTAAGGTTTTGGGCCGTATATTCAATTTAAGATGATCAGGAATGAAAATATTTTTCATTATTTTTACTGCAACCTGTGCTAAGAATTTGACCCTAGATCATAACATTCTCAAACAGTAACTTGTTAAAATCAGGGCTTTTGACTAATGTAATAACATTTCAAAAATGTCTTCAAAGTGGTTAAACTCGATGTCTTACGGTGGTGTATTGATGAGCCTGGGTTAATAAGAACATGTGTTCCATTGCTACAAGGTGTTGCTTTTATCTCCCCAAGCTGGATTGCTCACAAAGTGCAGATCACAGTAAGCAATGCTCCGTTGCCTACCTGACATAGAGGGAGCGTTTCTGATTGGTTCGCAGGGACCCGGACCCGGAGCTCATGCTGTGGTTCATCATCTGCTCGCGTAGGTCATGGATTTTGGCCTCAAATCGAGCGTAATCTGGGAAAGGAAACAAAGATGGTAGATTTGGTCCTGTGCCTTCAGAGAAGGAGAAATAGTGCCTAGCCAAGGCGGCTACTTGCCCCTGATGTTGGTTCCTTTGCCAAATATCAGGGAGATGCACAACTCAAAATAGTGAACATGGAGGGATCAGTTGCTTAATATTATTTATTTGCAGACATTGGCAAAAGGAAAAGGACAAATCAGTTACTTCCCCAAATGTAACTAGAAAACATACTGCCATCAAATCCCCAACATGTGAAAAGTCCACGAGGGAGGAGGTCACTGTGTGAGGTTATAAACGGGCAGCACAGGGCATTCTTGCGGTGATGAAAATGTGCTCTCTTGACTGTGGTAATGGATACTGAACATGTGAAAAAATGATCTACATCTAACTACATTCACATATACTCGCACAAATGAGTACAAGTAAAACTGGAAAAATTGGAATTAGATTGATGGATTACATCAATGTCAATATCCTGGCTGTGAGAACATGCTATAGTTTTACAAAATGTTACCATTGGGGGGAACTAAGAGTAAAAGGTACATGGATCTTCCTGTATTATTTATTGCAACTGTATATGAATCTACAATTATCACGGATCTTCCTGTATTATTTATTGTCACTGTATATGAATCTACAATTATCTCAAAATAAAAACTTTAATTTAGAAAAGAGGCCAACCACTGCCCCCCTCCAATACACCAAGATCCATGAACAAAACAAATATCCAAGGAATTAGTAATGTTATTGGGAGGGAAGATTGAGTCTACAGTTAATTTTCAGCCTGAGAGACCAGAGAACCAAGTGTTTGGTGATGAATTGTGTAAAAAAATTGCCTTTTAATTTGACTAACTTTTTTTCTCTGCTAGAGGGTTGCTAGAAGCTGATCATTTGGGATCATATCTCAATTTTGCCTTATAACTTTAATATAAAAAGTCCATATGTCAAATTTCATCAATTCTAAGATGTATTATATATTTAAATGAGCTTCTGGGAGCATGGCATTGGAAATAGGGGTAAATAGATTTTAGAAACATATGGGTCTAAAAAAATCAAGAAAATATGGGTATATATCATACTATTTCTTCATAGGAAAAATATTTTTCCATATGTCAATCCAATAAAAATGAAGAAAGTACAAATAGGTTTTAATATACTTATTAACACAATCAGCATGTAAAAAGGAAAAGCTTTTGAAGTTTTGATATGTCTGATCACAATTTGTTCTATCATCTCCTTGGCATAGAGTGTCCTGCTTTAGCAAAATCCAGTAGGTGAGAAGTCCAACTTACTCACAAGATAAATGTGAAAATGCTAGTTCAAATTATAAATGGTTCCTTTAATTACAAAGAAACTCACCATAGAGAATTTTTTAAAATGCTAATTCAAATTATAAATTATTCTTTTATAGAGAGAAACTCATCATAAAGTATTTCCTCAGTACATTTCAAAAAACAATTTGATTTTCAATTTAATTTATTCATAACTTTTCATAAAAACAAGGATGACTACATGAACGTAATAAAAGATGATCTACTTACAGTGTTTCAAATTCTTTATAAAAAAAGTTTTACAAAATTAAATTTAAATTCAATTTACTGACTATCTGTTGGTTATTATGGGGTGGGATATCATAAAAGAGAAGATTTGACCTTGGTTTTCAGTGATAAGTAGATAACTGGATAATGACCTACGAATGCTAAATATGTTTTTAAAGTTTAGTACTCTAAAGATAAAACCATCAAAGTTGACTGGAAATTTCTGGAGCTTAAGCAAAGTCTTATGCAATCTAGATTTGGAAGGCTTCCTTTTCAAAACTTAGCCTTTTTAAAAAAATTATTAGTATGTTATATCAGTCACCATACAGTACATTAGTTTTTGATGTAGTGTTCCATGATTCATTGTTTGTGTATAACAACCCAGTGCTCCATGCATTATGTGTCCTCCTTAATATCCATCACCAGGCTAACCTATCCCTTCCAAAACCCTCAGTTTGATTCCCAGAGTCTACAGTCTCTCATGGTTTGTCTCCCCCTCTGATTTCCCCCCCTTCATTTTCCCCTACCTTCTCCTAATGTCCTCCGTGCTATTCCTTATGTTCCACAAATAAGTGAAACCATATGATAATTGACTTTCTCTGCTTGACCTATTGCACTTAGCATAATCTCCTCCAGTCCAATCCATGTTGATGCAAAAGTTGGATATTCATCCTTTCTGATGGCTGAGTAATATTCCATTGTATATATGGACCACATCTTCTTTATCCATTCATCTGTTGAAGGGCATCTCAGCTCTTTCCACAGTTTGTCTATTGTGGACATTGCTGCTATGAACATTGGGGTGCAGGTGCCCCTTCTTTTCACTACAACTGCATCTTTGGGGCAAAACTTAGCTTTAAATAATTAAATCCTAAATGATTAAATAAGCAGAACACATATTTAACCTAAAATCTATTGATCATAATTTATGAAATTTATTTCAATCCTTTTGACAGAGAAAACACTCATTTTTAACAATCAATATGACACTGAATGCAGATTTAAATCATTTTGGGCAAGTCATGTTTTCCTGCCATCCTAAGAGTCAATTAATTATTTATTGGCATCACATGGCAGACACTGTGCTTAGTGCTTCATGGGCAATTATTCTTTCCTTAAATCACAAAATGAAGTTCATGGATGTTGTCAATATTTGGGCTACATGGAAAAACACAGAATAGAAACTGAGAGGTGAGCGCTTCTTCCTTCCCTCTCATTGCTGTCCTTTGCTCCACCTTTCTCTAGAGATACCTGTTGTGTGCTGGACTTGCACAGACATTTATCAACTCAGTTCATATATATATATATATATATATATATATATATATATATATATACACACACACATACCCACATACATATGAGATCATCAATATATATTATGCTAATGCCTTTTTCTCCCTTTATAACTGTGTAACTTGGATCTTTTCCTGCCTTCTCCCCAAAACGTAGATATATTTCTTAATACCCTTCATGGCATCACATGGTTAAGACTGTAATTTATTTCACAGTTGCAGAGTATAGCCAAAGATAGACCCCTCCAGCTCCTTGCTGTTATAAACAGGATCTTAGTCTACGTGAGCACATGTATGGGCAGGTTAGTTAGTGCAGATACTGGTCAGAGCTTTGCACAGATGTCATGCAGCCCCCGTTAGCATTTCTCAGAGAAGAAGATAATCTGGTCTGGGACATAAAGCAGGATCCCTTAGTGTCTTCAGATCATGCTCCACACTGCCACTTCCTAAATACCAGGCATCTCCTGTAGAACGAGTAAATCCCCCATCTGTTCTCAGGACTCCCTCCCTTACAACTTTGATGACTGCGCTACTGTGATAAAAACCAACACTCCCACCTCTCCTCCCCTACTTAAGCATCTTAATTCAGTGACAGTCCCTAACCCTGTTTGACCACTTTGCTACTTTTTTGTACTTCTCACACCAAATCACAGTGATTTGTGCAGTTGCCCGTCTTTCCCATTAGACTGAGCTGAGAACAGAAACCACAACTCATTCTCCTTGGAGTTCCCTGTCCCTAACAGTGTCTGGTGTGCAGGAGACATTTAAATAATAGGGATTCAACAAACATTTTCTGAATGAATCATGAATGAGGAAGTGAGCAGAATCATTAAATGCGTTCAGTTATAAAATGCCTACAGGTGCTGAAATTGCTCATTTTCAATGTTAAGCTTTCTTTCAATGAAGAAAGACAACATGCTTCTCCTGTGGGACTTCTTTTTTCAAGGCTAAATTGTCTAATTTCAAGGTTTATCACTGCCGCTCCCAAATCCCATTGATATTTTTATCGTTCTCCCGGTGATCTCTGCGCTCTCCCCATCACAGGCATGTCATACATTGGAAACTCTTCTCTGATACTTAACCTGTAGCTGATCAGCACTTTGTAAGGCTCTTCTGTCTGTCACACTCTATATGTCACAACAGGCTACTTTAATAGCAAACTGTGTTCTCCTTATTGTACGGCTCATTAGATCCCCCAGATGTTTTCTGCCTTGCTTTTGAAATGTTTGTTTTACACCATCTTCTATAGTGTTTACACTCCCCACTGTGGACGGGGAAGTGTTGTGTTGTATTGCATCTGTCTTAATTGGAAGACATCATGCCCTCAATTTCTCCACTTTGAGATTCATGTTAACCACAAATCCTATGTTTAAAAGCGCTTACCTATATCTTCACTCTTTTCTTTCTTTTAAATTTATTTATCCATTTTTAGAGAGAGAGAGTGCACGTAAGCTGGGGGAGGGGCAGAGGGAGAGAATCTCAAGCAGACTCCCTGCTGAGTGCAGAGCCCTACGTGGGGTTTGATCCCATAACTCATGAGATCATAGCCTGAGCCAAAACCAAGAGTCAGAAGCCCAACTGACTGAGCCACCCAGACATCCCTTTATTTTTTATTTTACTATTACTTTTTTTTTTAAGATTTTATTTATTTATTTGATAAAGAGAGACACAGCGAGAGAGGGAACACAAGCAGGGGGAGTGGGAGAGGGAGAAGCAGGCTTCCCGCTGAGCAGGGAGCCTGGTGCGGGGCTCGACCCCAGAACCCTGGGATCATGACCTGAGCTGAAGGCAGACACCCAATGACTGAGTCACCCAGGTGCCCCTATTATTACTTTTTTAAGTAGGCTCCACACCCAACATGGGGCCTGAACTCACGAACCCTATATTAAGAGTTGTATGCTCCACCAATCGAGCCAGCCAGGCGCCCCTCTTCACTTCTTTTTAGAAAATAAAACTTAAGTACAAGTAATTTCATCAGAGTAGAAGCAATGAAATCTGGATTTACAAATATAAATAGTATGCGTGAGAGAGACAGAGACAGAGAGAGAAGAGGAGCGCTGTCTCCAGCTTCTCAAAGATGAATGAGTCTATGGTTAGAAATGTTCTAGAAATAAGTAAGAAAGCAGGTACGTAAACTGTGAGATATAAGTCTTCTTTATG